GTGTGAGAACTCACAGATTCCTGTCTCGGGCTCCCACTCAGAGCTCATCTGCATCTCAATCTACAGCTTGCAAATAGGTGCATCACTACTCCAGCCAGATGTATTCCTCAATAATCCTCCCTTTGAGCAGTGACCATATATACGAAATATATATATTTATATAAATACATATATACATTGAGCTAATATACTAAAAGGAAAGAAACAAACGTTCAAGGCCTTTATCCCTCACCCTTATATATAATGCTTTTTGTAAGTAATGAATGCACTGATTTAGGCTAACAGGTGTATTGTACAAAAAAAATCTCCATCAGACCTCAGATTCATATAGACACCAATGCATGTGCTCTGTGAAAACAGTTTAGCATCAGTCTGGAATATTTTAATCTAAATCTCTCTGAGCAAAAGCCTAAAACTGCTTTTTGTAAGACTATTCAGGTTCCGCCTTGAAAGCTTCTGCCAGTTTGTAAGAGCAAATAGGACTACTAATCATTCTTGATATAACAGAAAACTCTAGCTTCTAGTAGTCAGTTGTTGAAGAATTTAGGTTATTTAATATACCATATATAAATTTGTTTGAAAACAAATATAGAAAGTTTTGCTGCTAGAGCAGAAATATCTTAAGTTTCATAGTTGACAATGAAGCTTAAGGTTTATTATATCCTGCAAATTCCTTGGTGCCAAAATCAGAAGGCAATATCACACATCAGAGTAACATGATCTTTTTGGTAGTAACCAGATGCACTTATCAGTAATTATGTCTGATGCTAGGAGGTGGATAGAGTTTATGAAATGGTCAGACATTTTATACAAGTGTAGTCAATGGGAACATTACATGGCATTTCTGTGAAGATATCTTGTGAGTTATCTGGTCTTTGTTCAAGTGCCAAACTGTTCCACAGGATTCTTGCCTTTGGCATAGGCAACAGCTATGCTCATTCTCTCAACAGGAGAATTTCTGAACAGAAGAGAGATGTAATTTCTTCTTCCTTGTCTAGTTAATGAGAAAGTAAGAACTTCAGGTAAAGACTTATGGCTCACTGCCCTAGGTAAAAGAGGTCTGTCTGCACCTTACTTCTGGCTTCTCATCCTATGCTTGTCTGATGATGAGTCAAGGGAGTCCCCTCTGAAGATGCAAGTTCAGTGTTGCTAAATTTTGTAACCCTAGCTCCCTGACTTTGGGTAGTGATTTTTGCTTGATCACAGTTGGACAGTATGATGTAGTCACAGAAAGTTTTCTGCTTCCTGGTCATGTAACAGGAAAGATAAGAGGATGTCCAGCCACAGGTCAGCAAATGTGCTAGCTGTTCCACTGCTGCTTTTCACTTCCCTTGCTCTTCCTTGTAAGCCATAGTTCCTTGTGGTCACATAGAGGCATATGTTATACAGTAATTTATTTTCTGAGCACCACTTGCAGCATTTTTGTTTCCACCCTCAGAAGTTTTCTCCTTTGTCTCATGAAAGCAGTTGTTTCCACCTTGTCCTGAGCAAATATGTCTTTTATCTTTTTCACCATAACCTTTCACTGCTCTTCAAGGCTAACCATATTGCAAAGACAGTGAATATTCTGATCGATAATCCTCAAAGAAAGATGGCTATAATGCTTTGGAGCCAAGCAACTCCAAGGTTTTGTCTTCAGTGTAACAGCTGCCAAAATTTAGATGGTGTGGATAGCTAAGGAAATTAGTATCAGGTGTTTGGGGCCTTTTAACAGAATACTGTAGATGTGACCTTCATAGGCCTGCCAAACCACATATCTTCAGCAAGTTTCCTTCATGTGAACCATGTCAAAAATACTTTCAGATAAAATAGAATGAAAACAATTGCCTGTGATATAAAAGGCTCCAAGAGAGGTCATATCCCAAATATTTGTACCATGCTTTTAGGCTGAAAGCATACTGGTCAAAGAGTTTTCAATCAGAAAATGAAAACTTTGTTTAGCTATAAATTTCTTAGTAGCTGTTTGCCACATGATTGGAAAGAGATAAAAGCACACTCAATGAGGGGTAACAGAACACCTTGTTCAGCTGTTCACCCACTCCTCTTTTTCTCTATGTTTTTGATTTTGCAAGATATTTATATCCATGGGTCAGTGTTTTGCTGTGCTGAAACCTATAATTGTAATGACAACACACTTCGCAATGAAATGTCCTGCAAAGCAAAGCAGTTTCATATACTATCTGGACTCTGGCTCTGAACTCCACAGTTTCTCTCCATGATTATTACTTAGTTATTACATTTACAATCATTGTCATCATGAGACCAAGATGAAAATAATAATTTTATATGCATATGAGTAGACACAAAGTACTAGGAGTCTAGGCAGCTTTTACAGCTAAGTAAAAACTCAGGGCTGCTCTGAGAAAACAAAAGGGCTCCTCATGCTTGGAAAACTATCCAGACTACTTTGAGTTACTGCCTGTAAAATGCATACTCCAATTTCAGGCCGCTGTTTTTAAAGCTGGCAGATAAGTGTTGGCTCGTAGAGGAGCTGATGCCCTCCTAGGTGCAGAGCCTGCTGGCACACCCTGGCAGGCCGTGCCCACCGGTGTGACCAGGTCTGTCACTGCGGGGCTGGGCTGGGCTGGGCTCTGCTCGCCATCTAGCAAGCCGCCAAGAGAGGCTTCACACAGACTGTGCTCTAAAAAATTATAAACCTTTCAAACACATCTAAGGAAATCCTCTATTTTCTGCAGGATAGGAAAGCTTTTTTATGGAAAGTTAACTCTTGTTTTTATTTCTGCCAATAAAAATCTCCTAATGTCTTAAAGTTACTGAATATACTGATCAATTGGCATGGTTCAATTTCAGCAAAGGCTTAGCAGACTGCTATTATAGATATAATCATGTGCTACAAAAATTAAAAGTACTTTTTCAAAGACTAATTATGTCCTCCTAAAGTGTTATCTCTTTTGAAGAGAACAAGAAGAGTGGATTTTATTTTCAGAAAAGCCACTGCTGCTGTATCTGACCTGATCTAATAATCTATTTACATGAAGTAACAAAGTAGATTGAAATGTCCTGTATGTTCAATGTGATGACTGCTCACTTTCACTATGGCAACATAAGCTCCAATTTTCCTGTGTAATGTGTGCTATTCCTGGTTGCTGTACTGTGTGTTATCTCCAAGATGGTATCTAAATCCACCTCTCTGCTTTTCCTCTCCTGTTATCTGTGCAGCTTTTATGACATTTCCCTTTCTAAGTTCTCTGAATCTTTCTCTTACTCTTGTATGTATGCCATTTTCCATGTCACCATTACCACTCCTTGAAAATCTATACCAGTTAAAACAACATCCCTTTGGGAACTCTCTCAAATGAGGAATCAATTATTTGAAACAGAGCAATGCCAATCAGCCTTGAGACCGCCCAACTGAAATGACTGCTGCACTCAGTATTATCTCTCAAAAAGCCTGTATTACTTTCAAAAGTAGGCAGTATTCTAAATGTAAAAAAAGTCCCCCAAACTAAAATAAACCAACCCAACAGAAACATACAAAGAAACCAGACAGGGAAAAATACAGTCTCATATTCCTTTAATTTTTTTGTTTATTTTTCTTTCATTTGGAATTTTGTTTCATTTTTTGTGCAAGAAATTATTTAGGACAATAACAAATCTTTTTAAAACACACACCTGTGGTGAGCCTTGTTGTTGACAGTGCTTCATTCAAAGCATTACAAATGAGAAGGGTTTATAGAAAACATTTCATGATATAAATCTAGGAATACCTGACAAACAAACGTAGCCTGATTGTCACAGATGCAGCATGCAGAGGTCTCTAACTTACATGATAGGATTTGGACAAATGCTTCCAGAATAATTTTCAAGTCCTTCTATGAGTGCAAAAGATAAAACACAGAAGATTTTCTTAGTGGAGCTTTTAATTTAAAACAAATGAACTTGAGGAATCACATTTGTACTGAAACCTTAGTTCCAGAATTTCCTAGGCTTTGGAAGTACTCTTTCTACTGAAAATAGACTTTGATCCTCTCAGGGATCTGGCTGTACCTTGACAGTCACAGTTGGTCTGGGTGTACATGTCCATGAAGGAGCCAAGTGTTAGGACAGGAGCTCAGCTTTTGACATTTATATTCTTATTATAGGCAAACTCCCTACAATTTCTACATCTTTATAGAAAAGGAATTATCCTAATGCATGAGGTGCAAAAAACAATGCAGCCTTTTGCTAGAGAATTTCTCAAAGCCATATTGTTGATAAAATGAAATTTCTAACTTCTATCTATGCATAATGACCTTCAAACAATAAATTTATGTTCACCATGGAATATAATCTGTATGTGGGTCATACAGAATTATTATATGACTGAATTTTCTGTAAATATATTCTTGTACACCTGTAGAAAATGTTGGCTATTTTGTCTTTTTCTCTGAATATCTGAAGACATTTTTGGACCTCTGGTTGTATCAGATTGTATCAGCTGTGTTGTTTGATGGATGGGCCTATATAGTATTCAGGCATCTTTTAGTCACAAAAATGGAAGGCAGAAAGCAAAAGTTCTCTGTAAAAAAGAGAAATTACTTATCTTGTAAGTTGTGAAAAAAATGCCAAAAAACTTTATACATAATTTGGAGCATCTTATTTTAGTTAGCATTTCTTTTGTGTTCTTGAAAGTGGGCTAGTAAATGTAATGGTATCAGAGTTCTGTAAGGGTAATGGTTTCATAATACCAGGCCATATAGTTATAAGTAAAGGAAATTGAAGAATTTCTCTTTGAGACCTGGACAAACAAAGCATGGCTTGGCTGCACTTAGAGCCAATCTAGCAGCTCTAACTCTCAGAGAATCACACAGAGAGAGCTAAGTAAAGGTGTTGTTGGACTTTTAATGTACTTTCACCAGACCTAAATGCATTCTCTCACACATTCTTTTAATGTGACTAGATATTGATTCACTGGTTCATTGATACCTATTCTCTTAAAACTATGTGTGCTTACAACTTTCCTCTTTTTTTAACCTCTTCTGGTCATATATTATACTTACCAGGTCTCATACCTCTTGAAGCTTTAAGGACTTCTGGATGTTAGTATAGCAATACAAAAAGGACAAAGGATCTTCCTATTAAAGCCAGATACAAATCTAAGAGTGATAAAAAAAAACAGACAAGTTAATTAAAATATTTAGAACAGTTTCCCAAAATTTAAAGTCTGAGATCAAATTCTCAATCCTGATCACTGAAACTAATCTAAATCTATCAATACAAAACTAAAGACTGCAATAAACAGTCATTACTGTGTCCTGGGCAATTTTAGTGTGGCTTGCTTAATTTTTCTTTTAGTTTCTCTTGTACAGTCTGATGAAGTCAATAAAATGAGGCGAGATTATACTTTGCCCTTGATGAGATGTACACATTTTTCCATTAGGGTAAAACATGTCCTCTCATACAGCATTATATGGAAGTTGTGTATACATAGGAAGTAGTGCAGCACAGTAGGAGTGAGTCTGAGAAGTATTTCAGGGGTATATGTTTCACATTAACTCTAAATTAGCCCTAGACCAGTAGAAAATAAAGTTATTAATAATTGAAACCCATTAGATATGGTATTAAAGGGGTTTTAATTTAATATGTAAGGAATCCACTGATCACATTGAGAACTCTTCAGCACATGAGCCAAAGGCACATAAGGCAGCAAAATCCAGGAGATTCCCTGTCCCAAAACAGTCATCTTAACAAGAATGCTAATATCCTCAGAAATATCCCAAGACACTCCAGTTAGTTTATATTATGAGTGTATAAGGAATGTGTCCTGATTTCATAACTACTTGCAATGGCAAATGCTGATACTGGTATGCAGTGCTAGCCTTTGCCTAACTTTTAAATAGAAGATTCTTGATTTCCATGCTACAGTATGCAGGTGATGAAAATAACATCCCCAGAAAGACTGAGTGGGACACAAACAATAAAATTGTAATGCAAATTAGGGAAGAAATAAAGTTCTGCAGCAAAGAGGGAATTTTGCAAGTGCTGCTCAAACATTAAATGTTTTTAGGCATATTGTCATTGTATACATTCGAAAAATACATGACTTGTGTTTTAACTAGAACAGATTCATTGCAATCCTTAATAAAATCTTCTATGTCAACCAGGTGCAGTAAACAGGACCTAAGGATCTTACTTAGAAGAATACTTTTTGAATCTACCCAATAATGTAAAATTTTGGGTTCTATTTAAATTTTTACAAAGTTTTAAATAAGCAGAAAAACCTAGACTTCAATAAGATTTACATCTTCATTTTTAAAATGTTCAATTCTAAGACTTCATTTTTTATTTTGAAGCATGTGAATGGTAATTTTCTTTTTCCCTTTTCAACGGTGTTTTTGTAGCTTTTCCTTCAAACCCACACATGGCATCTCTGCATTCTATATTAGAGCACATAAAACACTGCAGTTTAGAGTATCTGTATCAGATCAGCAGCCTTTTTATCAGGGGATTAAATTCTTTAAAGGAAATGCAGAAACGATGTGTGCGTTTTGCATCTGTTATTCAATTGGCAAGCTGTATAGCAATGTTTCACCTGCTGCCTTGAAAACAGGCTGCTTTTTTTCTGGTAGACCCAGCAGCAAGTTGAGGAAATATCATGCTGACAGAGCTTGAGGGAAGAAGTAAATGAGCATTGCTCTCAAATTCATCTTTGGCAGCAGAGCAAGAAGCTATAATCTAATGGCATCTTGTGTGAGTTTACAAGATGCTATTCTTAGGGATCATTCTCCTGTTATAAAACACATATAATAAGTAAAAATTTTAGGGAAAAAACTCACTAATTTTATGCTTAACTCTTATAGTTTCTGTGACAAAATATTTTTTCCCTAGTTTTTCTCCTTTTGGAAACATATTTAGAACTCATGCCTGTCATACATGATTTTTGTGAAAGGCATAGCTCCCCCATAACTTAAAATAAAGCCACATGCAAAACCTGTAAAATGGAAAAAAACCCTTTATTTATTTATTTATTTATTTATTTATTTATTTCTTAAATTTTGCCCTTAGAGAAACAATTATACACATTATAATTAGTGCTGAAAATTTTGCAATAACCTGACACCAGAAAGTGTGTTGGCTCCTAGCCATAGAGCACAAAATATTCCTTATCTCTGGTAATCTTATTTTTCATGGTAATTTGCATAGAATGCAAACAGAATGCTGCACAAATGTACTTGTATAAAGTTTTTCATTAGCAAAGTGGAGAACATTAATTAAAAAACTTTTTTCAGACACGATAATTCTTATTTAAAATACTTTTAAAATATTGAAATTTGTACCAGTAACATTGGTATGTAATGTTTCAATATATGTGAAAGGATGTGGTAACACAATAATTTGTGGATTCATGCCTTTACCTTCTCTTTGTCTAAGGCTGGGAATAGAAATTACATAGATTAGCAAAATGATTCTGAGAGCTTTCACCTTGTTTTTGTTGCTAAGGTAACCATTTCCTTGGCATCAATACATCCAGCAGGTCTTTCTTACATTTCTGTGAGCTGAAACAGAGGCAGCATTGTGAAATGGCATGAGGGGGGCAAAAAACCACAGAGATAAATAATGAGGGAAAGATCAACAAAAGTAGCCGAAAGTTAATACAGGGGTATTGCCTAATTGAATTGAATTAAGCCTTGTTTCTCTGTGGGTCACTTACAGTGCTCTGTGTACAGGTAAGTATTTAAGGCTCCAACAAGTGTACAGCTAAAAGCCAAAGAAGAACAGAAATCACCACACAAGAAAGCCCCAGATCCTTGCCCCTACCTGGACCACTGCCCCCTCCCTCTGAAAAGGAAAAAAAATAGAGGGAAAGGTGAAAAGGTGAAAGATGTGGTCTGGGTACAATATCTGAGCGTAGAGATGTTGTTGTGCCTCCACACTTCTATCAGACTCAAAATGGTAGACTTATTTTCAATAGAATAATTTCTTCTACTGCCCCCATCACATAATTTACCTGATACTCTGTCAGATGGGGTAGTCCATGAGAATGTAGTAATTATGCATATTTATTATTAAAAATCAATATATTTTTTGGCTTTTACACAGATGCAATTTTATTCTTACTTTATTTCTGCTATGTGTGTCAGAAAACCATGTAGTGAGAATGAGATAGAGAACCATGAGCCAGATAAGTAACTCTTCTATCCACTCTTCCTGGCTGAATGAACAATGCCTCAGCTGTTTCCTTTCCCAGCACTTTTCCTTGCAAATAACTTAAACTTTGCTACAAATGAAGTGAGCGACAAGCAGGATACACCAAACACCACATTTGGCAGAAAGCTGGGTGACACATGAAAACCTGTCAAATAAGTTATATTAGCAAACTGAAGGAAACCCCAAGTGGCAAAATGGTTCACTCAGAAATACAGTAGTGGCATGCAATCTCTTAAGAAAAAAAAAAGCAAAAATCTCTAAGACAGCTGTATGAATCTAGGCAAGAGAAATAGCAAAAGCATCATTGTCACCTTACAAACTTACATTCAGCCAACCATGTCTGAAGGCTGATAATAGTCTCTGTATAGCTTCATACTCAAAAGTCAGGCACAAAACTCTGCTATTAGAGCTAGGAATATTTGAACATTAAACTGAATGTTTCTAATGATTATTGGTGTGGAAGTGTGAAGACACTGAAGCGGGTGCCTTCAGAAAGTGAAGTAAGGAGAGAGATTCCCAATTCACCGACACAGTTTTAAGCTACTTCTGTACATAAAATATGCACATTTTTCTGTAAATTTCAAGGTTAGTTCTCGTGTTTATAAACACGTGTGGGTAGATGTGGACTCACTTACCTGGGGACTGTCCATAGCTGCAAGAGGGAGGCTGCTCCAGAGGGAAGGTGAGCAGGGGGCTAAGGGTGCCCCAGGGCAGCAGGGCTGTCAGTAATCCTCATCATCAGAGCACAGGGGAGCACAGCAGGGCAGTGGAGGCAACCAGCCCCATTGACACCTCATCAGACAGAGGCAAGGTAACCTCAGAAAAAGCTTCAAGATCGGTTCAGGAAAGACAAATGGAAACTTAACAGCAGATGACAAGACTGGATCCAGTTACACTGGCAATGCACCTCTGGCCAGCCCAGCCCTGAGTGTTGATAGACCTCCTGTACCAAAGAAAATGTGGAGTTTTGAGATTCCTCCGTACAGGGAGCTGAACAGCTGTGTGCTTTTAGGGCTCTGACAGGCATTTAATGTAGAATGACTTGGAAAGTTTCTATTTATTCTGCTAGAATGGGTGGATAAAAAAAGAGTGTTTTGGATATTATTGGAAAATACATCAGAGCTAACCATGATATATGACTTCATTAGAAGAGTTTAAATACACATAATCATCTTAGTGTAGGCTCACAAAAAACTTTGTGGTTTGCCTTCACAGATGGAGGATACAAAGGGACTTTGGGGATTTTTGTTCCATATGCAAACCTAAGAGAAACAGCAAAGTCATCACTGTGACTGAGGAGAACAGAAGCCTCAGCAACATTAAGTATTCTCTCACAAACCTCTGTGCTCCAGAGTACCACACCATACAAGAATAAGGTCCAGCCCACTGCAAAGCATGGATGGATAAGTAAGGCTGGAGAAAATATGAAGTCCTTTAAAAGTCATAGTAATACAATAATTTCTAGAAACAGAATAATATATTTTGAAATTTTATTACTGATTTATGTAGAACTTGGACGACAAAATAATTCAACTTTTTAAGAAATATTAAATTGACTAAAATTAGACACCTATCCAAGTTGACACCACCCTTGGCACTATCAATGGAACAGTGTTTGAAGTGATGATAATGACATCTTAAGCTCTTAGTTTGTCTTAAAACACCCAGATATCTACTCTGGAATGTTTAAACAAAAATTCCCTGTTCTCAAGTCAAGTAAAGTTAAAACTGACTGCCGTATCTCAATCTTCACATTGGGACTTATTTCTTCACACATTTTGGCCCTTTTTGGATAAGTTTCTTTGTTTGTTTGTTTTTGGTTTTTGTTTTTGTTTTGTTTTGTTTTGTTTTGTTTTGTTTTGTTTTCAGCAAAAACCCACAAAATAGACCAAAGAAAGAAGCTTTAAACTTGTCCATTTGGCCAGATTTTGACTAAGGTTCTGTTTTGGCTCTTTATCTACAGTAATTTCCTATCAATGCTAAATTCCTGAAGAAGGAATTTATTTCTCTTCTCTTTCACTTGTGGGCTTTGTCCAAAGCAAACTTAAATCATCTCCTTATATTCTGGATTTTTGTGAAGAGATAAAGTGAGGATTTTCTCTTGCATAAATTTATACACAGAGCAAAATTCTGGAGCTGTAAGATTTCTGTAGTCTTACTCCTCCGTAAGCAAAAAAACCTTAACCTGAGAAAAATCATCTGTAGGAAAGAAAGAAACTCCCTAGTGACACAGCAGATCTCCAATATTCATTTGTTGAGGATTATGAAAAACTTAGAGAATGTATCTAAAATTTAGAGGCTCCATTTCCAGAGAAAATTCACTTTATTTCCTGTTTCTTCAATGCTATAGCAATTCAGATAAGAGTATTTAATTGTCTTCTGTTTATCAACAATCAGCTTATATTTCTGCAATTATTAGTACCAGTGTGTTCTGCAGTTTTAAAGTCATAGATAGACAATGTAGCACTTATCTTCTGAACAGAAGTTTTTATATGAAAATTAAACATGTACAAGGCAGTGATTTCTTTACCTGTCACATGAGAATGGGAATAGGCTTAATGAGAAACAAAAGGCTTGCTGTTGAAGACATTGTAGGCTGTTGCTTCCAACACAAAAAGTCCTGGTATCTCTTTCATGCCACCAACTCTCAGTAACCCAAGCAGGTTTCAAGAGACTCAGAACAGAGATCTTCTTTCATATGGGTGGATTTATTCAGAAGATTTTGTTCTTTATTCCAAAGTACTTCTATTATCTTGGAAAGTCTGCAAGGTTTAGCTGAGGGATTCGGTTGAAGAGAATGAATTTTAAATCACAGAAATGAAAAAATAGCAACCCTCAGATAACTAAGCATTTGATCTTTGATTTGCAGTTCTGTTGAGCTGCTTGAAATGTCATTGGAGTCACATAGAACAGAATTGTGGTGTTCTGAATGAAAAAGGAAAAAATATTATCATCACTTGCATATCCATTACCATACCTTTCACTTCAAAATGTAGGATTGCCTGTCTTGGCAAATATATGGTGCCTATGAAAATAAAAAATTTTTGTTCCATTCCTTTCACACATATATTGAACATAGTAATCTGCCCACGTGAGGTTGACTATTTAGAAATTTGTCCTAATTTTACAGAGAAAATCTCAGACACTGAACTAAACAATATGAAAATATTTTATGACTCCCAAAGCATTTTCCAATTTTTGCATACTTTGATTTCTTCCTTTCCCTCATTCCTTATTTAAACAGGAAAGACAGACAAAGAAAATAGAAATAAAATCCAAGTAATGGTCATAAGAAGTTCAAAAAGTTGCAAATGATAATTTATTTGATAAAATTCTGAGTCTTTTGAAGATAATTTGGATATAGAAAAAAGAATTTAAAAATGACCTTTATGAAGAATACTGGCTTTTTGAAATCAAAGACAACATTTTTGCAGCTGACAGCAGGAAATCTGATAGCTCAATTTTGGTAGCTAAAATATTGGAAGTATGAATCTTTTTGAAACTGATATGTATTTCTGAACATATATAACTCAAACTTCCAGTTACTGCAAAGGAGTTTCAGATCACAATGTGTTCTAAAACAAATCTTATTAAAAAAAAATATGTGCAATCTCTAGATATCTATCTTGTTATTCTTTCCTGCTGCTCATTGCTGCCCTGAAGTGAAACAGAATGGTAAACTAGTCATGGTGGGCACAAACTGAAGGAGAATAAATCTATTTCTTTCTGTTTGAGTTGCCTCCTGGATTCTGCTTGATGAAAACCAGAGACATCGGCCTGAGAATAGAGCAAAGATGCTGCCACAGTTTGCAGGATTATTCAAGGCATTTCTAAAACTTCTGTTTTTAAAGCTGAACATAAGACAGAACTTCATTAATGGCTATGAAATGGCAGTTTGAGGGAGAATCTTGCACTCTCTCTGAAGTGCCACTGCTGCAGAAGATGCTGAGCTACATGGACCATAGCCTTGTGGTCTGTGGCCCTCAGCTACAAACACTTTGCTCATGAGAAGACATTAAACATGTCTCAAAAATATTAAAAACTAAATCTGTAGCTACAGCTCTTTTTTGGGAAAAAATTCTTTCTATAATCTTCCTTTGTTCATATGAGTGTCTCCTTGGTAGGTTCCTTACTCACATAAAGAGAAAAACGTCAAGAAAAACTCTACCACGTGACTGCATGAAAAAGAATAATATGTCCTGAGTTGGCTGCTTGTTAAGTTCTTATTTGTCTTGGTTTTTATACATTGCATTGAAGTGCATTTTTCAAGGACTTTTTACGGAGGCAAAAAGTTATTGCTCTCTTCAGACATGAAGATATGTTAGGAAATTTTGCTTTGAGGGGAGGCATGTTCATGGTGAAGGCTTGACTACAACTACAGGGAGCTCAAAACTGAAGAAAGTGGGTGGGGAAAAAAAAGGAGAAGAAAAGAGCTAATTAAAAAAATGTTGTGTGGTAACCACATCACTGAGTTATAAAACAGAAAATTTGATGAGAAAACAGGTTTGAACATACAGTGAGTTCCCCTTTTGCAAAAGGGTGATCCAAGTGGGATGAAAAATTAGTAATCTAAACTATACCTTACTATAAAAAAAGACTGAGTCTTTAAATAAGCTGTTGTCTTAGTCATCAATTAAATAATAACCACTAAGTAAACTAGTTGGCATCTTTGTTAAATAGGAATTTAATTATAAAACTTGAATCTTGGCAATGCACTTGAAAAGACAGTTTAAACCATAATCAGAAGTATTTTCTTATCCTTCTCACTTACTAATAACACCTCTCTTATTGAAGGAATTTCTTTTTCTTAATTAATCTGAGCATTTGACATTTTATCCATTTTTGTATGCACTTGAGAGAAGTATGTTCAAAGCAGTTTTAACCTTTGTATATTACCAATATATAACAATTTGTATACTACCAATTACCAAGTGAAGTAAAGTTCTAGTACATTACTGGATTTCTAGCAGGAGAGACAATAAAAAAAAATGAGAGTTTTTTTTAATTACTCTTTGTGTCTTTCTATGTGTATGTGGAAATATTATTTTTTTGGTAATATTTCTCTGAACTCTAAGAAAAATCTTCGTGGAATGACCATTCTTCTGTAGAATGCATAGAGTAATAGGATTATCACAGCCTTGATAGCCATTATCTTCCTTCTCTACCATATTTTTCTGTGATTTGTTATTTCTTCAATTTTGTTGCAGTATATTAGACTACATTTTGTATTTATTCAATAAAATAACAGGAAACACACTGCTATACATTGGAGTATATAAACAATATAACCACAATTAACAATATAATGAATTTTAAAAATTTTAATATTATATAGCATTATTTCAATTTTTTTAAATTTTACTTTCATAACTTACAGTTTTTAGTGATAAATAAATAAAATTATTAGAAAGGCAAAAATACAAACTGATGGTGCTTTTTCTTGAAAGATATTCTGCCAACACTAAAGTTCAGCTGTGTCAAAATTCCAGAGTTTCTATGATACAACAGTACTGTGTGATTCATCCATGTTTGTAGATCAACATCCAAATAGAAGAAAGTATTTCTACCAGAGAAAGGCATCAATGCAAGAGGTGGCTTCAAATCAAGTGCAGATTGAATCCATAGCAGAGATTCTCACCTTCTTGTCTTTCAATCTTCTTACACCAACATATTTCTACAGTCTAAAACAGAGGGGATTTTCTCTTTAAATAAGTGAGAATAAGGGGGATGCAGGGAGGTGTAATTGCCAGCACCAAGAGGGTGTCACAGCCTCTGCAGTCAGAGTTTCTGTCTGAGTTTACCCCGTGTCTCAGGCACTTGTGTTGCAGAAGATGGGCCTGAAGGCCAGGCTGTGTCTGCAGAACCTGTTATCTCTGCGCTGAATCCCTCACTTCCCTGAGGTCAGAAACTGCAGCATCTCCCATGGCACACTGTGGCTTTTATCTCTGTCCAGAAATTGTGCAGGTTACTCAGCTTTGCAGAGCTTTGGAGCATGGATACCATTA